TGGCTGAAGCACCTCTCAGGTCAGGTGGTTCGCATCCTGCTGGACTACGTGGATCATGTGTCCTTCTGCTCCCAGCTGAAGGTGGTTTTGATGGAGCAGCCGGAGTGGCCCGACATCTGCAAGCTGCAAGGTAAATCAGATTAAACTCTGATCAATCCCCGCCCAGACAACAGGAGTGGTCTTCATTAATCCTTCCTCTCCTCTTCCTCCTCCTCCTCTCCAGAGAATCCTCGCTGTCTGCAGCATCTCTGTCGTCTGAGCATCCGTCGTTGTCTCGGTCGCCCTCGTCTCCGGTCGCCCACCTTCATGAGCTTCCTGCCGTTGCCGGGGCGACTGAAGGACTACGTCCTGTACCAGGAGTACGACCTGTACGGCCGGCAGAGCAACACACAGGGGCGACAGTGAGGAGACAAGAGACACACTTCAAATAAAGTAGTTGAATGAGAACATGTAGTTTCAGAATCACTCTTTACTTTTATTTTCCACATCATACATCTATTTAACTGTAAGAGCCAACGGATTGCAGACATTTTTTTATTTTATCTTATTGTATTTTTCTATTAAAAACTCATTTCCCCTCCTGAAAGACCAGAGTGTTCTTATTGTCTGTGATCGTCTGTATTCTGATAAAGCATAAAAGGATAAAATATCTGAAAGTAACATACAGATCAGGAGGTTATGAACCAAAATATTGTACAGAACAGGATCTGGAGCACGGACAATGTCTGAACTAACCTCATTTTTATTACTGGTCAGGGTCAGCTCTCGACAGGCGCTTCAATCTGAACATTTAGCTGCTAAAGAGAGACTGAATATTCAGACACTAACACAGATAATAATGATGCTCTTTGTCTGTGGATGTGGATGTACGAACCACAAAGACTTTATAAGGTTCAGGTTGTTGTGGAGTTTGTATGTTTGTAAGTATTGTTATGTTTCTGAAATAACTCTGGAAACATAATCAGTGTAAGAGGTAGTTAAAGTACAAGCCTTTGTCTCTTACTTCCTACTTCATGTTGATATGGCGATGGAGTATTTAATCTTGAATTGACACCCTCACCTGTTCTGATCTACACGTTTTAAATGTTTCCTTCCTTCTGGATTTGTGAATTAAAGGACCAGTCAGTCTGAAGCATTTAGTGGCATCTAGTGGTCCAATTGCCACTAACTGAACACTGCTCGCGTCTGTATTTGACATTCTGGGAATGAGAACGCGCTGTGAAAGGCTCTATCTTTTGGTTTTGTCCGTTCTGGGCTACTGTAGAAACATGGCAGACTCTATGGAAGGCGACGTGTAGATATAGATAAAAACGTTTCTTTCTGGTCTCAAAAACACAACAACTCTTATATTCAGATAATTATACACTAATTAAAAGATACCTATTAATATTATATTGTATTTCTGTCAGTAGATCCTCCTAAATGTTACACACTGGACCTTTAATTCCCCACATTTAAAATGAAGCTGAAACTTACCCAGCAGCTGAGTTACAAGGTGGTACGTGATGACTTAACAATCCACAAACACTTAAAATGAACTGATGAAATGAGCCGAGTCACACTGAAGTCACAGATTTTATTTCAACCCCTTTTCAAACACCTGTTTTTGAGAAAGAAAGAAAAAAAACCCAAAAGCTTTTAAAGATTGAATACAAGATTAAATGATTCATGATGAATATTTTTACATTTCACACACTGATCTCTCCGCTGTGAGTCAACAACAGATGTGGACCGCACACAGCCGGAAGACCCGGAGGTCACAGAGACCGGGTTCAATAACCAGGCGAGACGTGCAGAATCGGAGCTCGCTGTCTCCCACTTCTGTCTTCAAGAGTTTTGTCAGGTTTCGGATGGGAGGCTCTAACATCTTTTGTCCCCACAGGCGTCCTGATTGTCAGATGAGCATAAAGAAGAAAGCTCTGGATCTCATCCAGCTGCTGATAAAAGCATCAAGACCTGTGGCGTTTTTGTCGAGATTTAACTTGGTGTAGGAGAAGTTTTCACGCATGCATGTGACCGACTGCTGGTGATGTGCGTTCAGGCTGTTAGCATTGTGATGATTAGCATAAATTATATTGCATACAGTAAGCAAGTCACACCATGTGAGTTAATAGTCATGTTTACAGTGTTGGTGGTTTTCTCTCGCAGTCATACAGTCTCTATAGAAACTCAATGCTAGTACTGAAAAAAAATTCAGGAATGATTAAAAAATAGAAAATACTGATGGAAAGTCAAAATTTTGAGCTACGAAGTCACAATAATGAGATAAATAATGTTCTCGTGGCCTTTAAAGAAGAGCTCTGTTTACAGGTCTACTGCAAATGTGAAAGAAGTCTGATACACTGCCTCAAGTGATGTCACTGGAGTCGGCGTCGGTTGGGAGCTGAAGACCACAAGTTTAAAAATTTAACAAAATCAGTTTGGGCTGGAGTTTGAATGAAGTTATCTGAACAGACCTCCGCAGCCCGCTGCTCATCTCTGTTTGAGGCTTGTTAGAGGAGGTTACATTAGCCGCTACATAATAAACCAGAATCTCTGACAGAACTGTCTCCGGTCAAGTTGCATTGTGGGAAATGCAGGCGCCAGTTTTTGACAAGGAAAACAAAAGAATGGATAAAAATAGACAATATCACTGGTTCTGCTGCATTTAATCTGTGGAGTTTTAAGAAACTGAAACTGTAACGTCGAGTCCAACCAGGAGACCTTTGTTGTCATTCCCCTCATTTTCTGTTTTCTAATAAAAAAAAGCCACAAAACGGCCTAAAAAATACTTGAAAAAGATGAGATAATAGATTAAAATCATACTTTGTCAAGAAATGATGAGATACTACGTACAAACTACTGCCAACCGGAATTAGAAGAATTAAATCTTCTCATTCTGGTTTAGTATCTATGAAAGAGAATTGCATCCACCAAATAAACAAACTAATTGGAGGTTTTATCTCACAATTACAAATAAGATCTTGGAATTACAAGATAAAGTATCTCTATTTGTGAATGCAGTCCTCTTCTGGAAGTATCTCATAACTTTCTTCTCTTCCTGGCAGAAACGGACCTCCACAGAGCGATTCGGACACAGTTCGAGGTCACAGCGTTGGGTTTTGAGGGCACAGTGAGACTCTAAAAGTGGACCTTGGCTGACTGCATTAACCTTTGCCAGGAACTTTATCGGTAAGATAAGGAGCCTGAAGAGGGACATGGCTGAATATCTGCAGTCCTGAACATCACAAGCCTCAAAGCTGCTACAGCTGGTGTTCAGCCTGCACACAAACACCGGCTGTCCCTTGTTTCCATTATAGGATTAAGGCTGCAACTAACAATGGTTTAATTATCGATTAATCTTTTGATTATTTTCTCAAACACTCAATTTATTGTTTGTCGTCTGGTTTACTCTAACCGCTCTCGTGCAGCAGGTGGCCGATCTCATAGAAACCCATCGTACTCAGAGACGAGCTGCTGAACATAGCGGAGCGTTTAGCAGCTAAAGAGGCTTTCCCTCAGGAGTTAGAAGAGACCAAAACCAGGGCTAAAAGAGAGTGAATACTGGTGGACACAAACATGACTACAAGTTCACCTTATCAACTTAAAAATGGGAATTCTGTACTCACAGCTTGTTTCTGACCCAAAAAAATCTGTTTTTATTTTGACTATTTGGCCAAAAAGGGCCCATGTGACGTGAATCTGAACTACACTGATCCCACAGGTCCCTGAACTCTGGGATACTGAATTACGTGGGTTCGTCTCTGCACCAGCTGCTGTTACTGTTACTGCTTATGTGATCAGTTAACCGACTGAAGAGAACTGGCAGTGTTGTGTGTCAAAAAAACATTTCATATGACTCAGAGCCGTCTGCTGGATGTGTCTGTCTGGTCAGTAATTACAACATGAGCCCAAAAGCTTCTGGAAAGATTTAATCTCACTTACTTTCACTGTTCTAACAAAACAGTCAGGATGATGTCAGATGCAGAAAATGCTGCTAAATAACTGATCAATCACTGAGGCTAATATCCATGATCCGAGAGGACAACGTCGCTGCTTTAGACTCTGTGATGACTGTAACAAGAATGTTTGACGCTGTGGTGGAAACCGACCCAAACAGGAGGACGTTAATGTGCATGCAAGTTCTTTACCAACTCCTTAAACGTGAAGTGAAACAAAACCAAAGACTAAAGATGGCGTCTACCTCTGTTCTAACACACACACACGCGCACACGTAGAGCTTCCCACCTGAGCAACAACTCCACAGCAGGCACAAGTGTTGGGCTCAGTGAGCTGACTGAAGTCTGGATTTGCTGCGACAGTTTTCTTCGTGAACACAATCTGGTTTTTAGTCCGTCGATACCCGACGAGCATCAGACTGAAGCTGAGTCGGCAGCAAACGTAACAGAGTTGAGTCAGCTCAAGTAATACTGCCAATCTCCTGACGTTTCACACCATGTGTCTCTGATGCACTTAATTTCTTTACATTTTATACATTTTGGTGGGAGTGGGGGGAGAGACATGTAAAAGACATAACATTTACCCACACATATGGGTAAAGGTACAATAAAAAAATAAATTATCACCTCGATAAACCAAAAATAAAATATTCATATTTGCTCTCTTATTCCAGCTCCTGGGGGTTGAGTTCCTGTTGCTGTCCAGCAGGGGGCGCTGCTGCGTCACAGCCGGCCTCTGGAACTTGTTGAAGGAAGCATAAACGGACAAATGTGATTGGCTAACACGGTCTCATCAGGACCAATCAGATGAGATAAAAGGTGGCATCTTCAAATGAGAGACTGGCTGCTTCTGCTTCTGCAGTCACAGGATGATGAGTTAGTTTAGAGGCAATTACTCAACATTATTATAATTCAACATTATTACTGAAAGTGGTGATTTAAATTCACACAATTCTCATTTAAATGATAATTTAAAAAACCTGCCAAAGTTAGCTGAAGGAGAACAGTGGAACCGTTGCAATGAACATAAACTGGATTATTTTGTGTTATTTGCCATATTGTGATTAGCTCACACAAAGATATGTAAGAAAAATATTTTTTCTTATTAAATATTCTTTTTATTCACCCAGCCCCAACTTAAAGGATAAGGCTGATGTTGTTTTTTTAATATTTTCTATTGTCAACAAATCCCATGAAAAGAACCAAACCAACGTGTTAGACCATCTCTCCACACTTTCTGACCGACGCCCCCCCCCGACCCTGTCTGCGGCTCTCAGCCTCAGTTTGTTCCTCCTGAAGACATAAATCTTTTAAAAATAGCTCACAAATATATATCTGACAAAACAATCCCACCAAGAGGTTCTGCAAAGTCGCTGTTTCTGGAGCTCGTCACATCACAAAATCCATCAGTTCTGTTCTTCTGAGCGTTTTTAAGGACTTCTCGTCCATTTCGGCTTAAAAGAAGGAATTGGAAAGTTAATTCTTGACGTTGGAAACAGCGACAGGAAACATCACTTAGAAGCTGTTCTGGAGCTTTTGACCTGTAAAAAGCCAACGTGGACGAAAAGACTTTAAAAATGCTTTAAAAAAATGGAGATTTTAACGTGTACAGCTTCATCACAACTGTGTCTTCTGAGGAAGATCGAAAGCTCCAGAACAAATATTAAATGGATGTTTGTGGGAAGATTGTTTTGTTCTGCTGTTTCCAAGGTTCAGAGAACATCTTCTGGGACGCCCTGGTGGCCAAGGGTTTAAGGCGGCGACCATGAACCACAACGTCCCCAGAAATTACCTGTCATCTCTCTCCTGTTGGCTATGAAATAAAAGGCATAAAATACCCCCCCAAAGAAAAAAACTATTTAATATATAAAAATCAATCTCACAAATATATAGTTTCAGGCTGAGAGTAATTTCCAAACAGCTCAACAACGTAGTTATTAGCAAACGTTGAGGACTTGAGGAAATAGTGCATTTAATTGGGATTCTTTTGGATTAATACACATTTGGTGCTCCAGTGTTTCCAGCAGCAGGATGGTTTGTGTGTGATTAACTCAACATAAACTACAGCGTCTGTGTGTGTGTGTGTGTGTGTGTGTTCGTGGTAATGAAGGGACATGTAACCCGGTGCAACAGTGTGGCTCATTGATGTGTTTTTAATAGTTTTTTGGACAACAATGGAGCTCTATGGCACAGAGGATTAAAATATATCAGGCTTTAGGAAACACACACAAAATACTTGTTAGTGCATCAGTTTGTTGTTGGTTTTGGATCTTTTTTCGTGGGGATTTGTTGGCAATAAGAAAAAATATCACCAAGACAAGATTTGGGACAGCGACACTTATGCTTTCCATATTACACAATAACCCAGAGGATGATTTTTACAGGACACCGACTACTAACGTTTTTGAATTAAGCCCCAAAAAGGGACATACAGCGTTTTTAGAAATGATCTATATCCTCTCCTTAAAGCCTACTTCTATGACGCAAATCTCTGTTGTACTTTATCTCCCTGTGGGAGTGCCCTCTGCACTGCTGAAGAAAAAAAGTGGCCGTCTATCATCGCCATCTATTGCTTTAACAGACGCTCGGATGTGTTTCTGAGTGCGTTTTCTGAGGTAACGCTAAAAGAGTCTATTTCACCTGTCCAGGTTTGGTTTTTCTGTAGGGAAAAGAGGAGTGAGGAGGAGTGGAGGAGGAGGAGTGGAGGTGGGGGAGTGAAGGGGAGGTAAAGTGAGTGTTGGCCAACTTCAGTGGGCGGCTCCTGGGATCCAGCTGATTGGTTGTTCAGAGAGAGGATGCTCTGTCCCGCTGGGCTGCCAAACAGCTCCACTGACAACTGTTCCCAGGATGTGTGTGTGTGTGTGTGTGTGTGTGTGTGTGTTTGGTCGTCTATCTTTGTGAGGACCAATGTGAGTTTTGGACTTGTTGTTAAAGGCCCGTCCACTCACGGTGCTGTTGTGTGTTTATCTTCTCGCTCCTACGGTCGGATGTTTGAGCTTCACTTTGCAGAGCGACGTGAGAGCAGAGGAAGGTTGTTTTTTTAATGTAGTGAAGTTTGTTTCTCTGTGCTCACTTAAACCTTTAAAGATTAAAGATCCCTTCCAGACATGTTTTAAGACATATAAAAAATGTGTCTGGTGTGGTTTTTCAACAAACAACTACCTCATTAAAATCTATAAAATTGATTGAAAAATCTCGGCATACGCTGAAGAAACATCGTCTCCTCTTCACCGATGAATCCATCCGCACTTGTGTACGACGCATATTGGACCTAATACTCGTATTTACATACCTTTAACTCAAGATTTCAGGTAAACTCAGAGAAAATATTTTCCACCTTCAGCAGACGAATGAAAACATCCTTCCAGTGTCAAACTCAAACATCAAACCTTTAGGAACAAGGACATAAACACATCTTCGAGAGCCGATGGGCTTTAAGGTTACAGCTCAGTTTAGTTGTGATGGTTGTGTGTTAGTGGGTACAGTATGTCAATGAGGGTCCTCACAAGTATAGAAGTACAAATACGTGTGTGTGTGTGTGTTGTATCCGTATCAGCGTGAAGTTGCAGCCACTTCGGCTCCACTGTCCCACCTCCTGGCCGTTGCTATAGTAACCACGCGACTGTAGAATGCCCACGTTGCCATGGTGACGTCCTGAAGAACCCTGTTCCATATTTACAGCCGAACCGTCTTGAGTCCTTGAGAACGCCGTCGCACAGCCTGCACCGGCTGTAACGACCTGAACTAACTCACAACAAGCTGTGTGTG